GCAGTACATGCTTTCTTTTCTTAAATTCTGTTATACATAATCCTAAGTCTTTGTCTTGTGCAATAATTTATGCCCTCTGAAGCCAGTAGTCAAGGCAGATCTTTCACAATTCTATTATAATGGGATACTGAAAAATGGAGATTGCTAGTGCCTTGTGGATGTGACTGCCACCACTGATTTAGACTAGTTTCTTTGCATGTGTTACTGGGTCAAAGAAGGAAGCTAAGAATGACATCTTCAATTTTTAGGTCAGTTGAAGTGTCTAAAATGGGCAATGAAATCTGGATGTCCTCATTTTTATTTATCCTCTTTCAGGTGCTGGTATGGAAGGAGCTGGACTATGGAACCATGACAGAGGCTGAAAAGCAAATGCTTGTCTCTGAAGTAAACCTTTTGAGGGAACTGAAGCACCCCAATATTGTCCGCTACTATGACCGCATAATTGATCGAACAAACACTACTCTTTATATTGTGATGGAGTATTGTGAGGGTGGGGACCTGGCTACCATTATTGCAAAATGTACAAAGGATAGGTATGCAGCAAATGAGCAGTACTTTTGTCTAAAACGCTTGATGTTTTTGCTTTGTCCCTAAGTAAGGCAAAACTTGCTTTTTGAAAATGGATTTCCCTGTATATGCATCGTGTGCCTAAAAATCTCTCTATATCCCACTAGCATGAAATGCCAATTTTGTTTCTTCTGCACACTCTTGTCATAGCAGTCCTAGATGTACAATTATTCCTGCTGCAGAGATACAATTGGCTTCCCTCTAGACACACTACACTGAGAGTGGGGATGCGTGTCTGGATTACTCTAGAGATAAGCTAGAATTCTGTTTGTGGTTGAGCATATTTTTTTTATTTGAATAATGGGTTATTTACTAAAGTTAGATTTGCTGGAAATGCAAAGTAAATTTCAAATGTAAGGCCAAAGTAGCCAAACTGAAAACAGAATGGACCTGGAGATTTTTTTCTAATTCAGACATGTTGGCCTAAATTTTGAATTTAACTCTGAATTCCCAACAATTCTCACTTCAGTGAAAAACCCTGCGGATTTCTCCTAAGAGTATTTAATTATTTATAAAATATTTACCAGGGAAGATACATTGAGATTTCTCTTGTTTTTAAGTATGTCCTAGGTCGACAAAATATTGCATTGATACAGTAGGGTACATTAAAATACAAAAACAATATTAATACACAATACATACAAAATTTAACATAGAACAGGTAGGAAATATACATAATCAACCATGACAGGTGCATTCTGTTTTGAGTATGCATGGGTTGATTGCTTGCTGATGTGCTTAGAGGAATATTGACTGTACCTCACAGACCAGACCTATATGAGGGT